TTTATCATAACTAAGAAAAACTATAAATATAACTATCTGTCTTGAACTCCATCAAAGACCACAGAAGGATAATATATAAACACTAGGATTGACAGAGACATCTTACTGCCTGAACAGTCACCCGAAGTTCCACTGTAACTTTGGGGCATCCATCTTCAGCCCATAGGCCACAATGTGTCTGGAACACTTCTCAGCAAAGCAGGAAATTTCAAACTGTCCATCTGCGCTGGCAGTCTGTCAGTCATTTTTCTTTGCCCTGTAGAAAGTCTCTTAGACTCTTTCATGAAGCAGGAACCCTATAAGACTGAGTTCAGTAGTCACTTTTCTGTGGGTCCTGCATGTCCAGATTATACAACAACAGTCAAGCAGTACAGGCAAGAGCAGTTTCTTACCAAATGGCTAATCTTGCCATTTTGAAAGCAAACTCCATAACAAGTTTCTTTGATGCCCATCTTCCTCTCAGACGTAATTGGTACTGCCAGGAGCAGACATTTCTCATTGTCCAGAAAAACCCTAAACCATTTTAAATGCCATTTTCTGATGGTCTTTGAGAGGTTTGAAGACTGTTTATCTGTCTGAAATGTATCTCTATCTATCTAGAAAACCTAACTTACCTTACTGTAAGTTCTGACTATTATAAGTAAATATCTATAATCTGTATTCAATTATGTATTACATTTTAAAAGATCAGTATAAGCACAATACTTAATCAAGAGGAGAAATATACATATCACAAAATTGATCTTGAATTTGTCTCAATAAATGAAAAACAATACCCATACCATAATTCCCCTTTTACCATAAAAAGAGATTGGTTGTGATCATTAACCAATTATAAACAATCCCATTTAAATGAAAACAAAGATTTATAAACAAGATGGGAATTGGGATGTCACTCATTCCAAACTGCTTCCTTCTGGGAGGGGGTGCTGTTTATACCATGGGGATCATGACAAAACTCAGAAACCTGTATAAGTCCGTATTTTCGGGGTCTGTAAAGCTGCATCATCTTAGCTGTCTCAATTGTTGGAACATCTGATCCACTGCTTCCGGGGATCTTGGTTCGTCAAACCACAGAAGCCTGGAAGGAATCCTCAGCTTTTCATTTTCTGTAGAATCATAAGCAAAAACTCCTTTTCCGAGTAACATATCCTTATACTTAAATTTTGAAGTCAAGACATTTTCAAAAGATAGAAGTTGGAGTAATTCAGCAGCATTTATAATCAAGTGTACTTTAGCAGCTGTTCCTTCCTTAGCAATCAAAAAACTGAAAAAACACAATAGCATACAGTATCCAGACTCTCTGTATATTTTCCATCTTTACGTGGCTTATTTATTTATCTATTATTATTATTACTCTATCTTTTCACTTTTATTTATTTTTCTCTGAGACAGGGTTTCTCTTTGGAAATCTGCCTGCCTCTGCCTCTGGAGTAAATCCTACCGGCGTGTGCCACCACAACGCCAGCTTTTGTATTTATATACCACTTTGCTGTTTCATTTTCTCTCTCAATCTCACGTATATTTTTAAACACACTGTAAACCTTTAGAGGCTTTCCTTTATCCAAGTCTGACTTTACAGTAAATCTTTATGTTTTTCTGGCCACGTGTCTTAACTGTAAAACCGCGGCTGTTTTAAACTGCCGTTTCAAGATGGCGGGCATAAGCGTGACTCCAGCTTCCGCCTCAGTCCATGTTGACATCCAGCAAAAGCTGCCACTTCCAGCTGTACGTACAAATTTTACATCGTTAGCAAAGTCACTTAAAACAACCTTGCTGGCTGATTTTTTGTAGCACTATTTAAGAATTTTATTCCCATTAAATGCACATCTTACTTTTCTATGTTAAATGTGAACATTAAAGCTGAGCTAAATGTTATGATTTAACATAAGAATTAAAACAGATAAAGAAATAGGTAAGTTCAGCTTTTAACACAGAGTAAGTTAAACATCCAGATTCCATGCCAAAGAAAAAATAATACAGGACTTCCCCCATCAATCTCCAGAGTCTGTCATCTCATCCAGCACAGTGCTTAGGTCATCCCCCCAAATTCCAGGCTATGAGAGCATGCCTCACTGTGGGATGGGCACTCGAACTCCATTTGTACACCAGTGGCCACAGAGATTGCATAGTCCTCCTCACTGACCCCCACATACAGGGGGTCTGGAACAGTCCCATGCTTTCCCCACAACCATCAGTCTGGCATGAAAGAGCTCCCCCTTGTTCAGGTCAACTGTTTTTATGGGCTAAACCAGCTCTGTCTTAACCCCTTTGTTCATCAGTTTTCCCTTTATGTCACTGGATTCAACGTGTTTGGTTCAGTGTTTAGTATCTGCCTCTGCTAACATATCACTGTATGAAGTTTCTGTTTCCCAGACTCTCTTCCAGTAGGATTGTATGCTACCACTCCCCTGATTCATATATGAGTGAGTGAGTACATCTCTTTTTGTGACTGGGTTGCTTCACTAAGGATGGTTTCTTCTAGTGTCCTCCATTTGCCTGCAAATTTCAAGATTCCATTGATTTGTTTTCCACTGAATAGTACTCCATTGTGTAAATGTACCACATTTTCTCTATCCACTCTTCAGTTTTGGGGCATCTAGGTTTCCTCCAGTTTCTGGCAATACAAAGAATGCTACTATGAACGTAGTGTAACAGGTGTCCTTGTGTGGATGTATGAGTATATGCCTAAGAGTGGAATTGCTAGGTCTTGTGGTAGACTGAGTGGAATTTTTCTGAGGAATCTCCATACTGATATCCAAAGTGGCTGTAGGAGTTGGCACTCCCACCAGCAGTGAAAGAGTATTCCCCTTTCTCTACATCCTCTCCAGCACAAACTGTCACTGAAGATTTTTATTTTAGCCTTCCTAACAGGAGTTAGGTGATATTTCAGAGTTAATTTGATTTGCATTTCCCTGATTACTAGGGATTTTGTGCACTTAGTCATGTGTCTCTCAGCTCTTTTAGACTCCTCTACTGAGAATTCTCTATTTAGTTCTGTACCACAATTTTTTATTGGATCATTTGGTGTTTTGGAGTCTTGCTTCTTGTGTTCTTTGTAAATTTTGGAGATCAGCCCTCTGTCAGATGTAGGGTTAGTGAATATCTTTTCCCAATCTCTGGGCTGCCTTTTTGTCTTTCTGACTCTGTCCTTTGCCTTGCAGAATTAAAAAGTCCTATCTCAACAAGAAAAAATAGATAATGAACTATTTTCTATGCATCAGTCAAATACAAATGAAATGGACATTGTTGATGAAATATTTGCCTGTATATATCATATATATTTATTGTACTTATTGTGTATTGATTTTCTTATGTTGGTCATATCCTTTTTCTGTTTGTGTTAGAGAAAACAGAGGAATTGTGGTGTTATACAATTTATACTATATCAAATATTGTCTTAGCATTCAGAAATCAAAGCAAGCCTCCAGCTATAAAGATCAGGCAGTGGTGATAACACACCTTCTATCCCAGGACGACTCAGGATTAAGAGGAAGGAGGATCTCTGTTACTTCAAGCATACATTGATTATTCAGTATAGATCCAGTTGTATAGCAACAGCTTACATAAAGATGATATCAGCATGTGGTATCACAGGCCTTTAATTCCAGGTCTCAGGATTAAGTAGACAGATCCCTGTTAATTTAAGGACACACTGACTACTACTAAATGCAACAACTAACACAAAGTGATCTCAGCACTTTGGATCACAGGCCTTTAATCCTAGCACTAGGGAGCTGGAGACAGGAGGATATGACTTGGCACATGAAAGGAATATGATGAGGAGACAGGATTGCCTTATCAGCTGGGTAGAGGTAAGATCTACTGAATTAGCTGTTTTGCTTCCCTGATCTTCAGCTTAAACCTTGAACCCAAAATCTCTCTCTGGGTCTTTTATTTATTGCCATACATTTAAAGGAGCACAAGTTGCTAAATTGATGATACGTAATTACGTTTATAAAATTAAAATAACCCTGATTCCTTGGGTAACTCTTTTAATGTGTCCCTCTCCATTCTTGATTCAGCTATTTGAGTCCCCTCTTGCATTCTTTAGGTTAGTTGGGCCAAAGATCTGTCATTCTTATTTATCTTACCCCAAAATTACTTCTAAATTTTGTAGAATCTTTCTATTGCTTCTACTTGTTAAAGGTTTTTGTTTTTGTTTTTGTTTTTCATAGCAGGCTTTCTCTGTTATAGACTATGCTGGAACTCATTGTGCAGACCAAAATGGCCTAAAGTTCAAAAGTCATTCTTCTGCCTCCTCCCTACTCAGAATGAAGGTTTACACCATGAGATATGGCTTTCTATTTCATTATTACTCTGATTTTTATTATCTTATGCTGCCGACTACATTGGGATTTTGTATAGTTTTGTTTCCAAATATTTCAGTTGAATAACAAAACTAATTTTTGTGCTTTCAGGTTTTTATTCTAGTCACTCAGAGTTTTAAATATCTTTCAAAAGATTGCTTTCAATGTGTCCCAGAAATTGCGATGTGGTCTGTTGTAAATATTTTTCATTCCTGAAAATTCTTCTTTTCCTCCTTCCTTCCTTCTTTCCTTACTTTGTTTCATTTTGTCCTTGACCCATTGATTCCATAACAAGTTCTTTTAATATTCATCAGGCTTTGACGTCACTAGAGTTTTTGTCAGTTTTTTGTTTTATTGCAATGTGTTCAGACAGTGTAAAAGGTTCAATTGCTCACTATTGTTGGCTTCAATGTCTTGTGAGGCCATGAGATTTTTGGGCTCACTCTCAATGATCAGCAAGTTATGAGCCATTCCTTTTCTAGAAAAGAGACAAGGTTTCTCCAGATTGTTTTGGATGCTCTTCTAGAACTCATTCTTTAGACCACTTTGCCCTAGAACTCATAGAGATTCCCCTGCCTCTGCCTTCTGAGAGCTTGGATTACTGGCATTTGCCACTAACACCTGGCTCAGAAAAATTATCTTTGTGTGTGTGTGTGTGTGTGTGTGTGCGTGTGTGTGTGTGTGTGTGTGTGTGTGTGCGTGTGTGTATTTTAAACAGCTTTAATCTCAGTCATTATATTGCCCACAATCAACATGTTTTGTTCCGGTTAAAGGGACTCTTAACCACTGGTCCGAACTTAGGGATAGAGATCATTATCTATCTGTGGATGTCAGGAAAAGAAAATGGCATACGCTTTGCACTTCAGATTGTCCAACATTTCAGGTAGCATGGTCACATGAAGGTATTTTCAATTTAGAGAAAATTAGAAAAGTAAAATAAAAGTCTTTAGTTTCCAGACCCCATGGGCACCCAGGATCAAGTCCCTTATATTATAGTATGGGAAGACTTGGTCTAACATCTGCTGCCCTGGTTCAGCCCTTTTCTTCCATCCCCTCTACCAGGATCACCCCCAAGGGATCTTCACCTTGGAGGCTGAGGTGACAGACAAGAAGGATTAGGAGACTCAGCCGAAGAAGTTCTATCACTACAAGAACAAACTGGTGCTCTGTGGATAGTGCATCAAGACTCTTGTTCACATTTCATCATGCTGTGGGTATAACATCAATGAGTATACCTAATGTATCTGTGCAAGTGAACCTTCTAAATGCTTTCCTATGTAGATCTTGGAACAACTATAAACTTTTGATCACTGTTTTGATAATAAAATTTTAACTGTAAATCACATGTGGGTTACCCTTGTAACAGAGGAAGGCTGGTAGAATATTATGGCCCAGATCAGGGAATGGGTACGGCAATGGAGAGGCACTATGTCAATGGGGGTCCTGGGAATGGTGGCAGTGGCAGTAGGCATTCTGGTTATATACCGAGTTCAAACATGCCTTGTTCCACAGGCAAAAGATACATCACCAAGTAATGCTCAGCTTAGTCCTTGAAAATTCCAGTATCCATGAAGTCTGGTTACAAATGATTCAAGGATGAGGTTCTCTGATAATGGGCAACCTGTGGGGAAGACACTTTTGCCTAAGACAGGGGACGCAAGGTCCCCCAAGGACAGGAAAGGGAGGGTAACCCTAATTGAACTACACAGGAGTGCCTCATTAGAAAATAAAAAAGGAGGAATTGAGGGAGCAAGAGACCTTGGCCAGATGCCCACTTCCCCATCAGCCTGGTAGCTGATTTCGATCACTTTGATTGTACTTTGGGAGGTGGGGCCTCTGTTGTTTGATCTGTCTTTACTGAGCATCTATAACCTTTTCTGTCTGGATGAGCAAAACCCCAAACCAGCCATGCAGTTTACTGTGGGAACTCTCACTAGCAGTTCAAGCACAGAGAAAGCAGCTGGGAGAGGCCTCTCTGTACCACATTATAAATGCTCAAGCAATAGCTCAGACTTCTTACTAACTATTCGTAATATATTTTTTCATCCTTATGTTATGCACATCCATGTTTTGCCTTCATGTATGTCACTGTTATGGTATCAGATCTTGGAAGAACAGATAGTTGTTAGCTTACATGTGAGTTATGAGAATTGAACCCAGACAGTCTGGGCAAGCACTCAATGGTCTTAACTGCTGAGCCATCTTTCCAGCATACTCACTAAATCTTACAACTGTTTTTTTTTGGTTTATCAAGACTGGTTTTCTCTGTATTGCTTTGCAGACTGTCCTGTAACTCACTATGTAGAAGAGGCTGGCATTTAAACTCACAGATTTCCAACTATCTCTGCCTCTGCCTCCTGGGTGCTGGGAATAAAGAGGTGAACCCCAAACACCCAGCTAAATCTTACATTTTAAATTAACCGATTTCTATAAATCCATCTGTTGCTCCAAGGTTTGTAGGTTTTGCCTCCCTTTCAGGTTCTGCCTCCTTTCTGTCTTCTGGGCAACTCAGTGTGACTCTGTCCTTCTTCTTACAACCATTCTCTCTGCCCCAAAATCCTGCCTCAGCATCAGTCAATTGAAGTTTTCTTAATGAAAGTGATACATATTTACAGTGTACAAGTTTGCTCCACAGCTCTCTGGGCTCTAAGCATCCTTTCATACAGAATGAGTTGCAGACTGGCTGTTGCCACTTTACACTCCAGTTCCAGCTGCGTTAGAATCACAAGAGATGGCCCACATGCTCCTAGTTCAGTTATCAAATGTTACTGGGATTACAAATATTCCAGCATCCATAACACATATGGATTTCTCTTCTTTTCCTTTCTTTCCTTCTCTCTCTCTCTCTCTCTCTCTCTCTCTCTCTCGCTCTCTCTCTCCCTTCCTTCCTTTCTATTCTTTCATTTCCTTTCTTTCTTTCTTTCATGTTTTAGGTTGTTTACATATAGTCTTAGAAGTCCTGGATCTCAATAAGTTGAAGAGGCTCTCCTTCAGCTCACAGAGATCTACTTATCTGTGTGGCTGGAATGCTGTGATGAAAGGTGTGCATCCCCACCCCCATTTGGATTGTGCATTCCCACTCCCATTTGTTGGTGGTGAGAGTGAACCCAGAGCCTAGAGCATGTCACGGAAGCTCTCAGTTTCACAGCTACATTTTAGCTTCATTTTTTAAGAAGACAAAGATATAAGTGTTACCTAGACCTAGTTTTTACCTCTCTAAAATTCTATAGCCTTTCTTCCTATTTCAGGGAAACATAGGTACTCACCACCAGCCCAATCTTATATTTTTGGTTGTTTTCAAACTTGAAGCTAATCTTGAGTTTTTTAAACAATTTTTTAAAGATTTATTTATTATGTATACAGTGTTCTTTCTACATGTATCCCTGCAGGTCAGAAGAAGCTACCAGATCTCATTACAGATGACTGTACAACAACATGTGATTGCTGGATATTGTACTTATGACCTTTGGAATATAATCTAGTTTTCTTAACCACTGAGATATCTCTCCAGGTCCCTAAAATTTGCAGAATGGGAAAAATAGCATCTGGTTAT